CCTCTCAGAGGCAATGAGTTGATCAGTAGGCCTATGTGCTCAACTCTTACGGTACAGTTGCAATATTGGCTGGTTATCACTCTTCAAATGTTATTAATGAGTCAATGGAGTATGCCCAATTCTCAAACGAGTAAGAATAACCTCAGATCTCCTGTCATACCGATTATTATGTGTCCAATTTTCTATCATAGGTTTGATCTCGTGTAGTTTATTGTGGACTTGTGCGTTCCACACAATTCGCCATCTTTCCGCTAGTCGTTTTTTTAATGACTAGCTTCAAATCACCTCCTTCAATACGCATTGTATGCTGAGAAGGACTTGCTGACTTTGCAGCTGCGTCAGCTTCTTCGTTCCCTCTAACACCTACGTGGCCTGGGACCCAACAAAATTTTACAAAAAAATTACTCGCAGTAAGATGGCAAAAGAGTTTATGAATTTTAATCACTATAGAGTGAGAACTATGTTCACAGGAGATCAAAGCCTGAAGGGCAGTAACTGAGTCAGTGTAAATCACGCAGCGACGATGATCTTTCTTAATTACGTATTTTAAGACTAGGTAAATAGCCTGCAGCTCTGCAGTAAAGATGGAAGAATTCGGTGCAATTTGTACTGCCACGGTTTCGTCCACGGTTTGCAGTTTACTGAGAAGCTGTCTACAGACGTAACTGTAGACAGCTTCTCAGTAAACTGCTTTAAGCTAAAGTCAACATTTACCACAGGAGTTGACCAAGATGATATACTATCGACCTCGGCCTGTGAAATGTTGCTTATGTCCAAGTCAATCGTGCTGCTTACATTCTCCATTCTTTTGTCGAATGTAGAGACACTACTTCTGCGGGCTGCAAATAGTCTCATTTGTAAAATTTATTGGACTGAGAAATGCAGATACCATCAACTAATTAGCATCGAGAATCAGTTGAAATTCTGTGTTGAAATCAAGTATTTTGATTTGCATAAAACAGTGTTTATAAACAGCTCTACGATTGTTTCCTTTATAAAGCAAAACATCTCCAACAATTTAAATAAACCAACTTTACCAGGCAACACACATTAGTGCCAAGACACGTTTTGTCTGGTGGTATGTAGTTTTTTGCTTTGTGTATATGTATAATCTATAATTATAGTGTATATTATAATTATATTACTGCTGTAATTACATGTATATATACAAATATGAGTGAAAAAAAGGAAGCGCAGAGGTATTAATGAACCCAACATAAGTAAATAGAGTTTCTTTGTAATTAATACTAGAGCAGAAACTTGTTTAGATGTTGCAGCATCTGCTACCTCTACAGTTTCGTTTCTTATTTCTATTCTGTGCTAATGGAATCTTGTAATTTATAATTCTTTAACGGATTGCTTGTTCTTGATAATATTATTTTATATATTAAAGATACAGAAGTGTCAAATGTGTTTATTTAAATCAGTGGTGTCATAATTTTATCTTTTCGATAGACGGGCCACGTCCACCAGTAGCGAACGGACAAAACCATTGAAACACTGCTGTTCACGGGTTCGTGCCTGACTAAAGGGTTGTCTTGGTGTTTTGTGAGTTTTCCAGAAATAGCCTCCATAGAAAGTTCACCCGGAAGGCATTCCTATTGGCAGAGCTCCCACGTGTTGCGTTGCCTTATCCCATGCTAATCCTACAATCTTAAGCAGGACACAAATAAGTCAGTAAATTTGCAATCTGGATAATGCTGTCACTATTATATTTTTCAGCTGGATTACGAAAAAAGGCAACTCAGACGAAGAGGAGAGGGGCACGTGTCCCAAGTGCCTCAATGTACGGGTGTTCCTGTTGAGAGATCTTAAATATCTTCACCAACCAAACAGATATTACGATTAATACATTATAAGAGGTGGGGAGGAGGGATTATAAGAGGTTTAATCTCGTATTGCCTATTAGTTCCTTTTGAATGAACACTTGCCTGAATTGTTCATTTTACATTAGAAAATTCCCATCAGAACAGTCCTATCTTCTAACTTCTATAATTTGCATGCATTCGTCGTAATGTCATTCCTTCACTTTCTGTATGTTGTGTTTCAAGAGGTGCCTTAGCAGTTTCTTCTTTGCAAATTCTAATATCTCCAATTTTAATAACATACAGGAGAATATCTTTATTCTAGTACCTCAGATAGTCTGTTATCTAATTCTTTAGCATAATTCTCTCTCTTCTCATCACAATTTAAGTAGTACTAATTCTCAGTACTAATTTTTTATGGCGTAACCACGATCCTAAGAAGATTTCCGTCTTCGATTATCAGGAAGTAATCAGAGGTAACATCTTCCCCCTGTAGAAGCGGGATTTGATTAACTGTCGTACCATCGTCAGCTTATGTTTGAACATCATGATTTTATAACCATATTACTTTCCCGATTCTGTTAGGCTATATATAACAGAGGAAAAGTATGGCGATCGGTCAAAAAATGACCCCCGCTTCAAGATTTTTACATTTTTGGACTCAGGATACGTTGAAACGTCGATGGTCCGGTGTTAATGTTAATGATTGCAATATCGCATTCATCCGGATATAATTCGTTTTCCTTCTTCCTATTTTTACTGTAATAATTTGAAATCTGCCAATGTTTCGACCGAACTTTCAATTCTTCCTTATTGTGTCTTGGATCTGATCGTCAAAAGCCAAGAGAGTTCGACTCTGGAGATAAAATTTATTGCCGAATTATGGGATTGAATTTCAAAAATAATTCCCGAAGACAAAACTGTAGACGTGGTTACGAAATATGGATATCAGAGAGATACCATAAGAGATATCTTAATGGATAAAGATAAATATAGTTTCATTGTATTCTTGTGAAGGCTTACGCGATTGTCCAATATTTGATGTTGCTATCGTTTTGTATTCTGCTCCTCACGAAGAAGTGAATTATANGGTTAATCTTTACCCATTACGAGATATTAAAGGGAAGAGACGTCTACACACATACGTGGAATTTTTCACTTTTGGGGGGATTCGGGGATCTCGAAACGCGGAGATATGCAAAACCCCGGAGAATCCAATTGAACGCGATTAGAATATTTTTCCGTGTTTTGTTACGAGAAAGAGAGATTGGCGTAGAGATGGTTTTGTTTGGAATTCGATGTACACAATATGTAATTGGTTAAATTAAACTTTCTCATTTAAATGCGTATTAACATGTCACACTGTTAACGACTAGAAAACGCACTCGAGGTTGATACAGGTTTTAATACTTCTCAACTAATATTTACAGTCGACCCCCTATAATTACGGTCCCTATAATTACGATTCCTATAAAACTGTGAAAAAATTGTGACGGTATCCGTAAAAAGAGGTTAAAAAACTCCTATAATTACGTAAAACGTCATCTGGCAGCCGAACTACTTTCCCGCTGTCCGTAGCGCCGCGAAACGTGTCACTTTCCGAACAGATCTATTTTACTCGAACACGTTTCAGCCTGTAAAGTATTAATAGTTTGTACTGTACGGTACAATTATATNCAAATTCCCTATTTTGAATGGCTAATGAAATGGAAAATACTTAGATCGATCAAAACATTGCCACCTACTAAAACTATCCAGAGAAACACAGGCTAACTAGAGAAAATATATCTCGAATACTATTTATTCTATTTACAACTTCCATATATGATTTTATAGTGCACGAAATAATAGAGAGGTTGCGGCCGACGTTTTCATCGCGAAAACGTCTACTTCGGACGTTCAGCGCCGCCTTCCTGTAAGCCTAGAAGTTTGACAATGGCGTTTGGAACGTCCGTGGAATCATGCTCGACAATGAAAAAGGTTCGCCATCCCTTCACTATAGCAATGTCTTAATAAATAATCCCTCCTATTAATTACTCTTATCTATCCGGTATCTCCATCCATATACATACTTATCGTAATGAACAAAAGAAACGCTCTATAATTTGTATTCTGATATCACGTGTTACAACCCATCGCCAATTCAAACTGTTTTTCAATCAGTTCTTTTGTATGCAAAAGAACTGATTGAAATATGGAAAACAATCACGAACAGGTTAGATTGTTGTCTGTTAAAAAATTCATATTCAATTCAGTGAACAATGAGTTATTACAAAGAAACTTTCGTTTCTACTGCGGTGAAGCAGAGAACTAGCACTTTTGTTCTCACTATACAATAGTTTAGTGAGAACAAAACTGCTACTTCTCCAACTGTTTCACCATTGTGTTTCGAATTTATAATTTATGTACCATCACTTTCTATGGGAAACCGGCCCGTATTTAAGTTATTAAAGTAGTAAAGAAAACCCGGTAAACCCCGCGCGAATAGCCTGTTGAACTGACCCACAACCAATTAAAATACAGTTCGGGTTTTATGCACGCGGCTAGTGGTGAGCGTTCAGTAAACCGTAATGGGCAAAATAACACTCTTCATCCGGAATTTACAAATTCCGATTAAATTGGGAATCGTCTAGTTTGAGAAGAATGGGTCGAGCCGCGCATTACACTTAATTAATTATTATCTTATTCGTAGTGGGCTCGCTTCGAATCTGATGTTTAGCTCTTAATACACGTTTTATGTGTAATTGGATTGTTACTCTTTCCCCATTACGGCTCATTGCGTGAAGTTTATCCATTCCGAGTTTCTATCTCTATACATTCTGCCATTATTCGTCACAAACGAGCATGCTTGAAAAGAGTGTCATATACAAAACTGGCAATATGGATGACAAACACGTAAGAGACGTGAATTTGAATGAATGACAAATGTGAAAGCTTTGTTTACAATTTTCAAAAGATAAATATTCAATAGAATAAACAATGAGTTATATTTACGGAACTTTTGTTCTCACGAAACAATAGTCTTGTCCCGTTTACTCTATTCTGTGCCCAATTTATATTTGCATATTTTGCGATTTTCGTTCTCATTTCGATTTCGACAAGAATCGAGATTCACTGATGTATTGTGTTTTCAGTTTAATTTCTTTATTTTCGGCATTTTCCTTTAATAATTTAATTTATTTATTTTTAGAAAAGAAATTGCCACGAATTCTCTTCCTCGTGTTCTCTGCAGAACTGAAACAATGACGATTCTTCATTTGAAACTGATGTACGTGTTGGTCACTTTTAAACATGGAGCAGAACGACATCACAGTAAGTAATATGACATTTTCTGAAAGTAATTCACATTCCAGGGATGTGTTTTGGTGTTTAGTAAAACTTAAAAAATAATTAATATATTAATATATACATTCAACATTAACAAACAAAAAAAATACTCAAGACTTCACATACAGAGACGACCTTTCATTCGAGGCTACGCCTCTGTAAAGAAAACAAGGGATTGTAAAGACAAAACTCTTGTATTTTTCAATATATTACTACACTAGACGGTCTTTTCTTAACGATAATTCTTTTAATAGTCTTTTGAGAATATGACAATAATCACAGACCCAATCATTCTTAATTAAAATAAGATAAATTTACTTTAATATCTGGGTATTAGGTGATGTGCCGATCACGTTCTGGCAACACGGATTTCCTGTAAAAGTCTACAGTGAACAGAACATCGAATTTATGGAAATCAGCTTTATGTATCGTTGCGGGAATCGTACTACTGGATTTACAGAATACATCCAGCCTACGACTCGCGTGTTAGCCAACGATCAGCTCATTAAAATAGTAAGTTTGACCTTACATAAAGAAATTCTAAAATTCTTAATAATCTCTATTGTACCCTTCGATGTTTCTCTTTACATCGCTCTTCACTAATTGTTCTAGCATAAAATAATGCAGAAAAAGATTCTAAAAGTTATACTGTTTTAATTAACCGTTTTGTGATATAGTGCAAAGGTGACACAGGCACCTGCAAACGGTATGGAAAAAGAAGAAAACAGAAATTACAAGGGCTGAAAGGAAAAGAAGTAGTGGTATCTTACAGTTCTGTAAGTCAACACAATTTTAAAATTGCATATTATTTGATCGATTTAAAAATCTTCCTTTCCTTTGAAAACTTTACACAACAAGTTAGAATATTCTAACTCGTTGCCTTTACGCAACGCCCCTCTGACTAAAAAGAAAATGGAGGACGTGCATTCAATTTTCTTTAAACGTGGCACTCTATTTAGTATTCTAGCTCGTTGGTCTAAATATCCTCAATGTCAAACGAAACCATTGACGCAAATTAGAGTAATCCATTAACTAAATAATCCTTGTTAATCCCACTCGAAAATCGAGTCCTTTAATTATAAAAACGGCTGGCATATACAAATTTATGAAATGTTTCAATGTCTCTTCTCAGGAACGTCATTTTCAAATTGACAAATTCCGTAAAGCATTTTCACGTCAATATCTAGACTTACTTAGTGATTGTCTGCAGATGAGGTTCGTCTATTACAATTCTACTTCCACTTCAATTAACTTTACTACCGAATATTTGATTTTAATTCTTTTTATTACAGCGTTGACGTGAAATTGGACGAAAGAAGCGTAAGCTGCTATCAATTTGTATTGTAGAATTTCTTATCACTCATTTTAATAAATATTTAAAAATTAATTAGACAGATCTGGCATTAATCACTGATATTATCCTCAAAGATTACATGGTTTATACTCCTCCCATATTCGATACTTCTACGTATTACGCTATTCGAGCCGCGAGACCCTTGGACAAAGCAGTTTCGCTGGTAAAGCCGTTTGCCTGGACGGTAAGTGCAACATTTACAACAATAAAACTTAAATTGCGTGAATGTACTGTACATAGATTATAGTTGTATTCGATGCATAAGATGCGCTCGAATGAATATGAATTTCTATATATTTTCTTCTTCTTTCAGATTTGGATGTGTCTGTCGATCACGTTGCCTCTGTTTCTCATTTCTGCATACGTACTGTTGAGACAGGAGGCGAGACTTCGGAACTTGAATCCACCTCCGTTTTCCACCTTCTTCTGGATTATAATAAGAAGTTTTCTGCGTCAAGGTGAGCGCTTGGTGTCAGTTATTTTATTCATCGCTTTGACCCTCTCCTCTTTTCCCAACTTTCCCCCATCTTTCCCCCACCCTCACCCCTACTTCCTCCTCTCCCTCTCATCCTCTACTCTTCACCAAGGCAATACCTTTTGGTACGCTTTACTATTCAATCACTGTCACTGTTTTACGTATACTCTAGTTAATACTACAAAAGTTACAAGCCTTTATATGGATAATGCAATCCTATTTGATGTGTCACGCGAGACAGTGTAAATATCTACCATACGAGAAATCCCAGATTTTCAATTAAGGGATTTCATGCAGTTGTAATTAGAATTAATATTGTAAACAGATATACGTGATTAAATTTCAAATTTATAATTTTCTCTTCTCCTAGATACCGATATCGATAACGTCTATCTGGAAACCTTCCGTCTGATGATTGGATGTTGGTTATTGATGACGTTCGTGCTGACATCAGGCTATTTAGGCATTTTGCCATCTTTCATGATGTATCCGGGAACCGAAGACATCCCGAAAAATTTTATTCAGTTGGGAAAAGCAGTGAGAGAAAACAGATATAAACCATTGATTTTCTTTATGTCTGATGAAACATCTATTTTCAACTTTTATCAGGTTTGTAGTTTTGGTTACTTATTATTTACTGTTTTTAAATTATTTCAAAATTTTATTATTATTCCTATATTATATACGCACATTGCTTCCATCTGACATTAATGTTTCCATTAATTTAAATACGGTAATAAAATTATGCAGTCACCAGTTAAATCTCACGTCCTGTTCTTCAGCCACAAAGAGAAAACTCGCGAGTACCAATTGTAGACTATATACCATTTCAAAGAATTACAATGAATTTAATTATTTTTTATAGAACTATCTTCCTGCGGCTTCACGTTTTAAAAATTTTAACGTAAAACTCAGTAACATCGAAATCGTCGACACTTTCATAAAATCCCTCATTTCTAATCCTGCTGAAAAGTCTTTATTTGACTCCAAACCCGCACTTTCTAAAATTCTCGACGAAGCATATTGCCTGTTGGCTTCTAAAAGGGTTCTGGATTCGTTGATTATGCATTGGGGAAAGGAAAAGTTTTACGTATCTTTGGACAATCTGTATACGAACTTCCGCTTTCTTCAGATTAACACCAAGCGCTTCAATTACGCTCGAGAAGTCACGAATATGTAAGTAAAAGCCTATTCTATTTTCATTTCGAACACCGTTTTATCTAGAATCCCTTGAAGGGAGAATTTTCTCCTCCAAATGTCAAGAATTCCCCCAAAGAAATCACTGGGAAAATTAAAGGAATTGTTGCTTACAAGTGCAGAAGGACCTGCCAAGATGAGCGATGCCGAAGCTTCAGAAATTTCTATAACACGATATCACTGCCAGATATCATACTATTTTTATTTTCCTCTAGCAAACGAACATTACACCTTTTCTCCTAAATACGTGCTCTATATCAGAAAATACAGATTCAATACAAGATATTCAAATAGGGTTTTAATAAAACAGTCTAAACCCATTTCTATAATTTTTATGTAGAACATTCAGTAGCTTGTTTAAATCTTTGGAGAATTTGGAGAATTACGAGACAATTTAATATTTTCCCTTGTAGGACCTCTGTTCTATCTCCCCGGTTTCACCCCATTTAAGCCAAATCCTTCAGACCTTCGAGTTTGGATAAAACGGTGTTAATTTCATACAGAAAAATTGTACTCCGTTTATTCATTGTTTTACTCAGGGTGAATTTACTGGCACAAAGTGGCATACCCGATAAAATAAAGAAAGACGAAGAAGAGGATATCAGAAGAAAATACGAATTTTTTAAGACAAATGTAGAAGAAAGTGAAAACGAACCTCTGAAAGTAGAAGACATTATGGGTCCACTCTACTTATTGTTAGCCGGGTATGTGGTTTCTACTTTGACCCTCGTCGCCGAAATCATTACTCATAAGATGAAAGTCAGAAAACAGCGACTAAAGATTGACGTAGAAAATGCAAGAAATCACTAAAATTCAATTCGTATGGCATTGCTAAAATACAATTTCACGTATCAAATGTTCTTAAATTTTTTTCCAACTATATTTAATAACGATGTTTTTAATGAGATTTCAGTACATTGAAATTATTAAACTATATAAATACAAATATTTTCCCAGCCTTTTCCAGCTACGAGTGTTATTGAAGTGTTTTCGAGTTGACTGAGCAGCCGTTTTATAATCGAGTATTAACGGGTTTGAACGTGAAATAAAATTTTATAATTACGAATTCTTGGATCGACTTGAAAAATTAATTAAATAAAATGTGATAAGAGATGGCGTCACCAAATACTGCCTGGAAAGTTAAGCAACTCGTTCCAATCCGTTAGTAGTTCGATCTTAAAGGTGGCTGCTTAGTCAGCACAACACGTTTGATTATAAATAGTTGCAATCAGGAAGGATCTAGGATTTTTTTGGGTCTAGGGTTTATTGAAGTCCAATGGGACCCCACTTGATAGATTAAGAATTTTTAAATTGGGGTTTAAAATTCACTTTTTATAAGATCAAAATCAGAGTTGAAATATACGAGGGGAAGTCAAAAAGTTCTCGGAATTGTGATCCTGCACTGTAGTGGCACGAGATGTGGTAATGCAAACCTAATCACCTTCAAAGTAAGCTCCTTCCGCACAAACACACTTGTTCCATCGATCCTGCCACTGTCGAAAGCAGGCGGGGAATGCTTCCTTTGGAATCTTCTGAAATTGGGCCGTCGTATTCGATACGATGTCCTCCCTGCTTGCGAAACGCGTGCCTTTGAGGTCCATTTTGAAAGTAGGGAACAGCCAAAAGTCACTGGGAACAAGATCTGGAGAGAAAGGTGACTGGGTGATGACAGTAATGCTTTTGCTGGCGAGGAATTGCTGCGCAATAAGCAATGTGTGACTCGGCGCGTTGTCGTGACTGTCCACGTCAATTGTCGGGCCACTTCCTCGTAAACTTGCTGCTGGACTGACAGCATCTCTGCAGCAGTTTTCCCCATTTGCGCACGACCTCGATGCACGCTGCGTGAACTGGGACATTGCCACACCCAATAAAGACGCTGTAGTAACGACTGTGCAAGTCTAAAGGTGCATGAGCATTATCAAACTACGAATAGACATGCCGAGCTTCCTGTCACAGTAATGCATAACCTTATCTTACATTGCATTTTCTAACTAGGTAAATTCCGGAAACTTTTTGGCTGTCCCTTGTATTTATTTATGGTGTTGAATGAAAAAGTTTATATCTTATAGTAAAAAACACATAAGAAATAAAGAAATATTATTAACAAAAACGTATAAACAAACAAAATTTCTAATTAAAATATACCATACGCCATTTACCCATAGCATTAACTATTTTTTACTATACGATAAGTGCTCATTGTTAATAAAAAAGCATTAAAAATTTATGATAATAATTCAATTTTTGTGGACCCTTGACATTTGGGTGTCCAGGGCTTAAGCCCTGTTAGTCCCTATGTAGATTCGCCCCTGGTTGTAATAGTGTTTCTGGAAAGGTCCAGAACAATTTATATTTACACTACACTCCACTTTATGAGGCTTCTTAGTAAAAATATTTAATTATGAAGAGTTGTATCAAAACAGCAGACAGAAGGAAAAACACGCGAGTTTTATTGCAAAGAGAAAAGTGAATGTTATTGATCTTTATTTTTCGCTTATTGTTTTCACGATTTGCGCTGTCATTTACCGGGTTTTAAAGGCTTAAAAGTGTGTTCTAACGGAAGTATACAATATAATACGACCGTGTGTAAGCTGATGTACTGTACTCTATAAATGAATACGTAGGCCTAATTGGTATGTTTTTATGTGATAGTTTACATTATGTAAAATACACTTAGACTAAGCTTTATCTCTGTTACGTACTTAATTGTGTATAATGCATTGTTTTGAATATTTATGTAAATTTACTGTGTTTCCTATACGAAGTAATTAGTTCAAAACAACATTTGTCTTGTTACTTTAATTTCATAAATTTCCATTTAACAGTCAGTCATATATTCATATATATGAGTAAGCTTTTGTAATTTGAATATGTATTGTATCACTCGTTTGTATGCCACATTGGAATGCTTGTAAACACAAATTGTTTGCTCATATCCATACTTAACACAAGTTTAGTGTGATGTCGTTTAATTTTAATATTCGAAAGACTAAATATGTCACGTAATACGTAATTTTCATGGTATAGTATACATGTTTAATATTTTAATACGATTTAGTGTTTACGTCCGGGCCTACCAGTGGCCAGGTAGTTAAAATAATAGAATACTGGTACTTGGTGGCGGATTCGCGCCCCACCAACGGACTGGCCGCGTGGAGTTTTCCGGGTTTTCTCCACGTGTCTAATACCTGAATAGGGGCCAGTTTCTCGTAGAAAGTCCTCCCGGAAGGCATCCCCCCTTGGCATAGCATCCATGTATTGCATTTCCTTGTTCTATCAATCTTGTAATATATAAAACCCTATGTAATACAGTATACTTATATGGTATTTATTGTATTTCTGCATGAATTCGATACACGGAGACCCGCGTTTCATTAAAACCAATCAAGTTTAACATAAATTTTCATATATTGTATTTCTGATAATTTATAAGACAGGAAATTTTCCGGTACGTGTTTTTAAATTCTTTCATACGAAGGCGTATGTCTCGGCAGCTATTAAGATACTGCTAGTTATTAGTGTAGGTGTGCCATTTTTTAGTTTTTCGCTGGTGACATGCCTTATAAAACCAGTTCGAGTAGATATTGTGCAGTGGTTGGATACCATAATGACCAGTGTGTTCTTTATAAGTGGTTTGAGGCTGTAGCGATGTAACACGATGCATTGAAATTGTCCATGTATTCAATCGTTCCAGTTACATTCATTTCCACGTAATGAAAATTTAAGAAGAGAATGGTAATCAGCCATGCATTAATTCAGCTAGATAATAAGTTTGCCATCATAGTGTCTATACAGAAGATAACTTGCAGATCGGGTTTGTGATGGCTTTACATTTGTCTTAAGGACACAACTGTTTTGTGATCAATTTAATTAAAATTCCACTTGAGAAATAATTATAACAGTCAAGACTCCTATAATTCTTGGTAATCATAAGGTTTATTTTAAATGAGATATTCAAATATAACTGGATTTTACAAAGACGGCATTCTCTCGTGTCATCATTGATAAAAATCAATTAAAAATACAAGTTCGTAGAAGAAACTATGCAAAAAATATAAAACTCTTACAATTACTAACAAGGTTATGAACGAATTTCTATTAGTAATTTCAAAATTCTCAATTCTATAGTTCTTGCAGTATCTTAACGGACAAAAGTAATGATTTAAAATTTGCATTCTGATATCGCGTGTTACGACCACAGAGAATTCAAACTGTTTCGTATGCAAAAAAGAATTGATTGAATATAGAAAACAGTCACGCAACAGAAAACCATTTGTTAAATTGTTGTGTATCTAATAATGCATATTTAATTCAGTAAACAATGATTTATTACAGAGAAACTTTTGTTTCCATTAAACTATTGTGTGGCGAGAACAAAAGTGCTGGTTCTCCGCTGTACCGGTTGTGTTTCGAAATTATAATTTACGTATTATCGGTCGCTACACTTCGTGAGTTAACACAAACTTATTTCCAAACGTTTTCTGAAACGCGCTTTTGAATGAAAAAAATTATACTGTATACGAAAAGGAGTACATTAACATACGATCACTACAGTTTAATAAAACTATAACAACCTTCTACCTACACTCACATACATATATTGTACATGTGCATGAACTGTAGATACATTCACGACGGGTGATCGTGTTTTCTACGAAATCACATGCTGGTGCACGTAGCAGTAAAAAAAAAAAAAAAAAAAACACGAATTTGCTCCCACGAAATTTCCACCGTCTACGAGTTGACCAAAAACACCCAAAAGGTTCGACGTTATTCCTGAAATACGATGTGTTGGTGCTGCATTGACCATTTTATTTGGAAGTCATTTTCCTTACTTGTCTACAACAAGGAACTTCTTTTGTTGCTTTCACCAAACTCTTCGTACCAAAACATCTCTTCTGCTTCCGCGTTACACAGGTTCGAATATTTTCGTTTACGCGGATTTCCGCTTTATACGGGTTTCGTTTTACTTCGGCTTCCAACTCTATTGCCCTTTTTTTTCTTCTTCACGCTTTTTCCGGATAAAGCCGTGCTCTTTCTTTTCGCCATCTTACATTAAGGGGTGCACAATAAAGTACAAATTGATACACGAAATCCGTAGTGTTGGAGATCACCGAAGTTTCGTGTAGTAAATAATGACCGACAGGGAGATCGAGACTGACATTAAGGAAGGGAATTCGCGAGATTCGGACTGGGAAAGGGGATTCCCCACGCTGGAGTAGGTTATAAGTCCCAGCGGTGGTTAAGGGAGAAATGGCTGAACATGACTATTAATTTGGCACTTTAATTAATTAAAGGTGTATTGGCCTACTGAAATTTTTTATATTCGGAATAAATACGAACTGGTTTACATTCTTCCTCGTAAGCATTCATTCCAAAACCTTTCGTCTGTAAATAATAATAAACAAAACTGTCCTTTCTTAACTGGCGTGTTACATCATAACTACCGAACGAACCCGTTGCCAGTGGTGTTTTCCTCTTTCTGTAGTCCTGTTCTAATCTCATATGTAACGTATGGAGCTCGATTCTGATCAACGTACAGTACGTTACGGCGCGTTCTGTTACCGATTCAAATTTTCTCGTTGTCTAACGATATTAACGTCTCGTCTGTGATGACGTACAATACACATTTCAAAATACAGTTATACATAATAAAGACAATCACTACTTATTGAAGGATCAGTCGTAAAGTGACGAATTATTTATTTAAATGCTAACGATAGAAGAAGTAATTACCGATAGAAACTAAAGTAAAAGTTTAAATTTGTAAATAAAAGATGAAGAAATGTGGTCAAACTACTAAACTTTCGGTTTGAAAGTTCATTTCTCCGGAATTTTCTTTATTACAATTCAATATCTTTCCTTAATAGTTTGTTTAAACTTTATTTTTGGCTGCAATCTGCCGCATTTGATTTAAGTTTTTTACTCGAAGATTAAAGTTATTTCTATTTTTTTTTTTTTAAACATTTATAAACTATTTGCCAGAATTCGCATTTATCTTGTACTTTTATTAACTTGATTAAATGCTTTAAACATTACAAATAGCCGGGTTTTCATTCACACAAGAAATCATGCACCAATTGCTCTCTGCTATATAACAGACACAAGACAAATCTTTAAAAATTAAGTATCCATAGCCTATGATATTGTCTTTCGTTTAGTATCTAAGAATGGAGTAATGATTAAGAAACGAAATTTGACACGGTAGCATGTATTTAAACGACATTGATATTAAAAAATCACAACTGCATTTTAAAAAATAATTCTATTCTTACACGAAAGCCTGTACTTTACTCTACTTTTAAACATAATTTCCTCCAATATGAAGGCACTTTTCATATCGTACAACTAGCTTCTGAATTCCATCCTCATAGACACCTGTCGTCCGATTTACCCACCACTGCAGCACGGC